CGCATGGTGTGGTGGTGAACGCGTTACTCCCCGGAAAGGACAATAGCGCGTTCGTTCCCCACCATAGACACCTGCGGTCCAGAGTTTTGCAAATATCTCAGCAACGTTGTGGTTGTACTACGAAGAGACTCAACATTCCATCCGGAAGGCCGACTGAAGGTAAGCCTATGCCGAGGAAGATTCTGACGAGTTCACTGTGGTCGTCTTCTCGCCAAAAACATAGGAAGAAAAGATCCAAAAACTCAAACTGTGGTGGTCTTTGCGTCCGTCGAGAGAACAGAGCGCATTGTGTGGCGCGGAAACTCTGGACCAATGAGCAAAGGGTTTTGCTGGCGCTTGCTCGAATTTCTTGACGAATAACAGAGTGGGTTATGGAGAGCGAAAGCACACAGTGACCTATTTAGTCAAAAGATATTATAAAAAAGAAATTATTAGTAGAATTTCAATATAGAAGCATCGCAGTATTGAAAATGCACTGTGTGTAAATATAGCTGTCAAATCTTACTGATTTTTTAATGGAAAGCAAAAAGTGATTTGTAATTTTTCTGCCGTACGGAATTTACACAGCTCTAAGCTTAGGAATTCTCGGTGCTCTTTGACGTGACTCCGGATCATCCCTCTTATGAGAGACGAAAGGAAGAAACCGGTGAGCAGCTATGTTTATTTTACAGGCTTTCAAAGCACCCTATCATTTTTCTTTTCTATTTTCAAGTGGATGCCACGATATGCCAGTTGTTGTCTGAGGAGATCGTTCGGTGAATCGCAAGGAGAAAGTGTCAAGTCGTCTGGCTTCCTAAATCCATTGAAAAAACCAAAAAAACTATAAAGTTTTAGTGTGTAAAAATAACTGTGTAATAATAATAGAAATGACTGCTTTTATTTTTTAAATTTATTTAGTTTTGTTTGGTCTGCCTTCACGTTTGCTGTGCGGATCCCAGCACTTCTCACATTCGAATCGCTTCCTCTCATCCATTGTCCACGAAGGTGTTCCAACTTTTACGTGTGGCTTCGGTTCCTGCTTAAGGATTTCCACCTCGTCTCGAATGTCGTAGAATGCTGGTCGAGCAATTCTTCCTGGAGTTCTGAGATAGCCAGGCCGGAGCATTCCTAATTGGATTACAGAGAGTAATTTTTTTCCCGAATAAGTTCAGTACCAATTTTCCGAGCCTAAGCAGATGAGAGGCTTTGTTAGCCTAGAGAGGAATCGATCATCATGCTCGTAATGACGGACACCATTACCAGTGTGCTATCCGCCCCCTATAATAAAATTCTTTGAATGTGATGTGGTTCGGAATACGATAATGTGCAAAGTAACACACATCACTATTAAAAGGATGCGTTAGCTAAATAGTGTGGCCCCCGAAAGATCTTAATAATAACTGCACGAATACTAATAGAGACTCGTCATTTCCACGTGCACAATTGTCTCGCGACTACACTGAGTAGCATAGATGTGGGATGAAGCTTTCTCCCTGTGCCAGAGCAAGACTTTTCTACTGTGGGAAAAAACAAGAGATAAACAAAAGAACAAGTGATTCTTTCTTAATGGCTATCTATTTTGGTGTAAAGTTTCTCAGTCGGTGATGAGCAGATTTTAGAAAGAGACCAAAAATTAAAGCGCAGTGGAGACAAAAGCAATGTAGCAAAGATTCTCTTTTTTAAATTGATGCCTTAACCGTTTCTTCAGTTACTCGACAGCTTAATCTGTTTTTAATCCGCGATTCAATGTTTTCTCTATGTAGTTCACAAAACTCCACCACTGTCCTGATAATAAACTAATCGCATGGTAGCAAATCACCCTCTGATCCATAAGGGCGGTGACTGCCTGTGGTGGCGACGACCTAGGGCTGTCTTTGGCTACGAAGACCTCGGAACTCCAGTGAACCACAATGTTCAAAACAGCAAAGCTCTGGGAAAAAAAATGTAAATCTTGCTAGGGCCCACACAACCAGTGAAGACGGGCTGTCCAAATATCGAACTAAGTCCAGAAAAGAATGGACCCGCTCCGTTGTGAAGTTTCGTTCGTTTATAATTTCCCACCTGTTGCATGAAATTGTTCAAAAGCACTTTAAATATGCGAGTAATAAATGATCTTTCTGTAAATAAAGCCACATTTCAACAAACATTTAACTAGACTATACGCTATCATTTTTGAGGAAATAATGCCTAATTATTGATTTGACACTATCGATTAATAAAGGTTGAAGTACTATTTGTAAAGATTTGTACTAACTAATAAGTGAAATTCATCGAGTAAAACTGTTTACTTTACATGTCAACGGTTAATAGGACTCTTTTTCGTGTGTGACTGCCTCTTTTAAGAACGAATAACCGAAAAAAGTGTTAAAGAATCAATGGTATCAGGGCCTTCTCAATGAAAATTGAGTTCCACAGCAATTAACACGAGTAACACCTGCATCACCTGCAGTCTCGTTGATCGTCGAGTGACTCGAGCGGGCATCAGTAAATTTTTTATCTTTCCCCGTCGCGTGCAAGAATAGCCCAGTGGGTTCTGCTCGCTCTAGGGATTCCTCGAGCATCATATCTTTCTTCAAGGCTCTTTATGAAGAACTCTGACCGTCGGGTCGGTGGTCTTCCTGCAGTACGTTTGACATCCCGAGGAATCCAGTCGCTAACAGCTCTTGTCCATCGGTTGTCATTCATGCACGTTACGTGTTCGGTCCATCTGGTCTTCTGCAGTTTGGCGTACAGCACGGTATCTCTGATTTTTCTATCGATGACGTACGTTGGAGCTTCGGACCCCATCCCTTACTTGCGTGGAAACGGGATACTTCTAGCATCGTTCTTTCGACTGCGGGTTCGATAACGCTGAGTGATCCTTCAAACTGCTTACGCTGCGACCAAGTTTCTGACGCATACGTTAGGGCGGGAAGTACCGCTGAGTCGAAAAGCTGGGCACAGAGTCGGATGCTCTTTGTCCTCTTCACTACATCCTCGATGCTCTTGAAAGTTTCCCAAACCGCTGGTTTCCTTCTGCTCTGCTCTGGAGCCAAGTCGTTCATCATATTAATTTCCCGACCTAGATAGACATAACTGGAGCATTCGGAGATATTCGTTCCGTTGAGCGTGAATTGGACATACGAAACCAATCCGTTCTTCATGAACATCGTTTTTGTGAGATTTAGTCGAAGTCCATTCTTCCGACAGGCTTTATCAAAGTGGTCAAGCATACGTTCCGCTTGGCTAATCTTTGGTGTTATAAGAACGATGTCATCAGCAAAGCAAAGATGGTGTAGCTGCCGACCGTCGGTTTTCACTCCCATATTTTCCCATTCCAATGTTCGCATGAGGTTCTGGAGGGTGGCGGTAAACAATTTTGGCGAGATGGTATCGCCTTGCTTAACCCCTCTTTTAGGGACTCCTTGACTATCAAGGGCTTCCGACTGCTTCTATCACAATTGCATCAAAGGTCTTCTGTAAATCGATGAGAGTGAGATAGAGCGGTCTTCTGTACTCTCGTGATACTTCAATGAGCCTTGTTATCGTGTGGATGTGGTCCATCGTACTAAATCCTCTTCGAAACCCTACTTGCTCACATGGCGGCCCTTCTTCCAGTGTTCTGTCAATCCTGTTTTGGATGACTCGAGTGAAAAGTTTGTAGATGACAGACAATAAGCAGATTGGGCGATAGTTGCCGATGTCGTGTAGGTCACCCTTATTGAACAACAACACGGTCCTGCTGGTCTTCCACTGTGTAGAGACCTTGCATTCAGGCAGGTAACGTGTGAAGAGCCGAGCTATTGTGTTTACGAGGACTGGCGGAAGGTTCTTCAGATGTTCTGATCCTATCCTGTCCAGATCTGGTGCTGTTCGATTTTTCACCGAGTAACATGAAATTATTAACCATTTTGAATGTATTTTTTATTTGGGTGCTTCCAGTACAACAGAAGTATTCGAAGTGGAAGCACGCTTTACCGCCTCATCGTGGCTGGAAGGTGGTACTGGATATCGGGCAACGATGTATAGCGGGGATGCATGCCACTGGTAAGGCCTCCCAAGCTGAGAGCAAGTTTGGCTTTTTAGGAAGTCTAGCTAAGGGTTAACCAATACCAGGATCCTTCACCGTCCTGGTACAAAATTAGTCGCGTCGTGGCAAATCTCCCTCTGATCCACAATAGCTGCGACTGCCTCTGTTGGTGAAGAGCTGGGGAAAACTTTGGCCAAGCCGATCTCAGAACTCCAGGAAAACACAATAGCTAAGGCAAGAAAGCTCGGAAAAAATGGAGATTGTGCTGGGAACCGCACAAGCAGTGACTTCGGGCGGTCCCAGAATTCAAGTATGTATCCAATTTTTGTATTAGTTGCTATGCTGTAAGGTAGCCCCTATTGTGAACAGTATCGTTGTTATATCGGCCGACGGAATCAGTCGAGTTTATTGTATCGATCGATGTGTATGTAATTCTTCATGATCACTTCACTCAGTAACGATTGCTACAAAACCTAAATAAAACTATGTTATGTTTAACTTCAATGATACTAAGATAGCTTAACTGCCCTCGTTGCCAATTTGTGCTCTCTAGATCAATCCCGCTAACGGGTGATTGCTGACGGCGCTGATCGATAGAACTAGGTGAGAGAGGCGAAACGACAGACCCGCATGGTGTGGTGGTGAACGCGTTAACCCCCGGAAAGGGTAACAGCGCATTCGTTCCCCACCCCTTCTGGCCGGAGTTTTGCAAATATCTCAGCATCATTGAAGTTATATTTCACAACGTACCCTGCTATTAAAAAGAGTAGGAAGCAAAGAATAAGCTAAAATTATGTTATATTCAGTTGAATCGTTCTGTGTTTTCTCAGTGGCAAATCCCAAATGATACGAAGATGACCCATCAAGTCGAACAATGTAACGCTTGGCTGACATGCTGACATGACTATGGACCCTACTACAGAGTGTCGCCTTTGGTTAGCCTGCCAGGGCATCAATGAGGCCTGTCATTGTTCGGTGTCATATCTTTAGGATAGAGCTATAGCAGCACAAAACGGTGCAAAAGTGTCCCAGTTCGCCATTTTGGACAGAGATGGTGAGCGAGGGTAACCGGTCCCCTTCTCTGCAATCCCCTTCACCTGAATGTCCATGGAGTGATTTGGATGACGAGTCAAATGACTCTGAATACGTTTGGGAAACCTCGTGCTGTTCTTCGCTCGTCTCGAAGGCCGCTGATGAAAGCGTCGACGATGATAATGACGGTGAGAACGTCGAAGATGAAGTTGAAGACGCAGAGGATGAAAATTCAAAGCCACCACCCGAGGTATGTTAATTGTGCTAATTTCTCTTCGTGATCTTATAACATGAGTGCATTCATTTGTTATAGTGTTCCTATAATTGAAGGATTTTTTCACTATGATGAAGTTACAAAATAATAATTCAAGCTAAGACTATTCCACTACGTTTAGATTTTGTTACGAATTATTTTCTATTTCCACTGTTTCTTTTGGTTTTTTCCAAGCGTTTTTGTTTCATTTCTAGATCTACTGGTCCTATGAGGGTACGCCAAAAGAGGATGTTGATGACAACGTATCGTCCGAACAGAAAGCCTCTCAACTTTATGGTATGGAACTTCAGCGACAAATCGAAGAACTAGAAAGAATACCCAGGCCATCCTGTAATGACATCCGACACCTATGGGAGCGAATCGAGCAAGAAAATGAGCTCTACAGACGTCAATTCGCTTGGCAGATGGAAAATAGTAAGTGGTTTTCCCTTATTAATAGAGGATTTGGACGAAAAGAGGTCTTCATTTCTTGTTTTCCAGTGATCCGTTTCACAACAAATCTAGCATAAGGAGCGACTTGGAAGGACAGCAGATGGCTAGTTTATTACTTACTTGGATACTTGGATGGTCCGTGCTCACGAGTTGTGCTGACCCCAGCACATTTGCTATTCGGTTCTTTCCCTCGCAATCGTCTCGTCCGTGGTGGTGGTGGCTTTATTCGAACATTGTGGATAGTTTTGCCCACAGAAATTCTACTTTTCTTCCATTAATATTTATACTGGGATATGATTTGTATTTAAGTTACTTGAACGTACGTGATATTTGCTTATACTTTTATTAGTTGATCCTGATATGTATGTTTCTTATTTATTATATGGTAATGCAAGCCACATTTAGCTCTTAACTTTTAATGGACTGGTAATCGTATGGTACAAAAGTGGTCTAGCAATACCAGCTAGTAACTGTGAAACCTTTACCATGTATTTAAGCAGATGGTTTGGATTACAACTGTAGGCGTTTCCTCTTGGAATAAATGTGGAACAGTCGAATTTTTCCCAAAGCAAAATAACAGGAAAAAGGTTTCATAGAGGTTAAAAGATATGATGGAACTCTATCAAGAGTTTCTTCACGGCAACAGACTTGGCAGGCCATGGATGTAGCCCAACAATAAATAGCAGTTAGTAACTGTGAAACATTACTCGCCCTCCCTCCGGTGTGGTCAAAGGTTTCATTTAAGAACACTGCATGAAATCAGGCTTTTCAGCTCACCCTGAGGGTGCTGTTTATCGCAGCCGAGTTTTCAATAGGATTTCTAGCTCATCTACGTCAGAGTATAAACACATTCGCAGACCTCTTTCTGGTCCACTAGCGTCAGTGAATGCCTGTGGCAGCGACTTACGATGGGCCTAGAACGGAAATCGTGGGGTTTCAGAGAAACTACGCTTGACGATCAACCGGAATTTTGACTGGGAGGGAAGATGTGAGATGCCAGAGTCGTAGGCGAACCCACGGGTGAATCTTACCACAGTCAATGATGACGATAGCAAGACAACGAATCAAACGAAGGAAATACTATAGCCCATAAAACATAATGACTGGTTTCTTGAAGTATGTAAATAGGCTCCCAATGATCTTTTGAATAAAGGGCAAATATGGCAGTGAAGCTCATGACGCTGACTTGATCAAATTCTCTCTGTCGGTCTTACTTTTAATTGCTTAGCTATCTTGGCACTCTATGGCGCCTGTGGCGAAGTGGTCTGAGGCGCCCTTCAACACACGTGGATTCGATCTTTGAGCCCATGGCTCACCAGCCTTCCATCCCTCCGAGCTCGGAAAATTGGTGCCAGACTTGTCTAGAAGAATAACATCACTGTCTCGATAAATCGCTAGGCCATCGTAAGTCATTGTAAAGACCAGGCATGCATTCAATCACCTCCAAACGATGCTTAATGATGTCGAATGCATGGCGCACCCCTCAGGGGTTGATGCACACCGAGAGCTTTATCCTTTATCCTTTATATTGGCACTCTATTCATTTTTGTCGCTGTTTAAGTGGAAATAGAAATAAAGTAAGACTTTAGACTTTGTCGAAACATTAAACATGACAAATACTTAAACAGATGAGTTCAAAAACAAGTTTGGCTGTGATGGTATTGTAGTGAATTTTTCGTAATATTTCTCATAAATCTTTTTTACATACGGATCGGCTCCTATACGATCATCTAAATTTTCTTTCCTTCACTGAACAAAGACATTACTCGAAAAAAAGAAGAAAGAGCAATGACGGACGAAATGAATGATTAAAGCGCCTTTGTATCAGGTTGTTCAATTTGTATTTAAAAGAAAGGCTTGCCTATAACTAACCAAACAACTAATAATTCGTCATGCCATCATCTTTGTAATGTTTTCTCTCTTAATAAATAATATAAGCTAGGTTGAAAATCATAGAAAAAGACCATCCTGCTTTCCTGCGGGAGCTACTACCTCTACCCCTTGAACCCCAGCAATTTTGCGTAAACATCGTAGAGTAGATTGAAAAAGAAATCGTGTTGAGAAATGAGGAGCGAAGCCAGTAAAACAGACTGCTAAGAATCTTTACTGTTTTAAAAAAGAACGAAAACGCCAAGTTTATAGGAATATTCGGCCGCAGTTGTCCTAATGCTCATCAGCTGCAGAGTTCTGATTCGTTGTGATCGTTGATAGTGATGTTTCCGCAGTCAATAGTCCGACCGCATCTGTTGATGAGTCTGATACTACTAGTCTCTTCAAGGGATCCTAGAAAAAGCTTTGGCTGGAACGATATTATTTTGAATATAAATTTTTAAAAAAAAACTCCCACAATAAAACATGAAAGCAATGGCGTCACTAGCCATACATGTTAGTCGGAAAATTTTCATTGGAAGCAAGTTTAGATGAACCTTTAAGAAAACAACGGATAAGATGTGATGGAGGAAAAAAGTTCTCTGGTCGTAGCACAGTAGTTAGTGGTGCCGTCTATAGGGATGTAACGCTACTGGATCGGTCTCTTTCAACGATCTTCTCTAATGCACTGAGAACGGTTAGCGTGGCTATTTCCAAGACAGCAAGGAGAATCGACTCAACCAGCATTCTATGATATTCATAAAGAAGACGAAATCATCAAGCAACAGCCGATGCGACTCTCAAGAAGACCACTGTGGGCGATGAATTCGAGGAAAACGAATCGAAAGCAAGGAGCGATGGGGTCCACATGGTAGATATAATGACGGGCTATGTGACGAAAAGTGTTAAAATACTTTCTTGAATTTCATTTAAGTGGTACAAAATCACTTATTTTTAGAATTGTTTATTTTTTTATTTTGAGTTATTTTGTAGGAATTTCACTTAATACCCTGCTAAGCAAAAATAACAGGTAGACAGTAAATTCGATTACAGTCTCAGCTTAACTGTGCCCAACGCCGATTTTTGCTCGCAGGGCATTCCCATTGACAGGTGATTGCCCATGGCACCGTTAGCGTAACAACTTGCTGAGAAGAAGGCAAGTGGAGCGCCTCATTGCCACAATGAGTAACACATAAGCACCCGGAAAGTATAATTAAGGGTACGATTTTGTCCTGGGGTTCGGGGATTGGAAACCTTTGATCGTAATTGTGGTTGTACTTTATAAAAATAGTTTTGCATTGATTGTCGATCTTTCTTGTAGCAATTGTATAGCGCAGTGGTTAGGGGTCGGCTGTAATGCATACAAGGCTTTTGCTTTGACCCCGTGCCTTGGGCAAACCAAGCACGCTCTCTTCGCGAGGTTGGGAAAAATGTGACCAGACTTGGCTTGAAAGATAACAAAACCGACTAGATAGATCGATAAGCCACCGTAAGTTATTGTATAGCCCAGATATGCATTAAATCACCTCCGCGAGCAACGAATGGAGTAGAATGCATGGAGAACCTCCCAGGAATTGATTGGTGCTGAGTGCTTTCTTCTCTATCATTCATTGTTTAGATTTCGCATGAGTAACAGGAATGAACTGTTTGATCTCATTTCCTTCCTTTGCCTTAATTCCGATTTGTATAAGATTCCAGAAGGTACCAACCATGTGGGCGATGAATTTATTGACCACAGGAATACTACTGTTAAAAATCGCTTAAATTTCATCAAACCAATTTTCGTTTACGGTTTCGGGATATATGAGAGTGGAGGACAGCAGCGATATTGATTACTGTTTATTCATATCATTGAATAAGACTTACATCGGTTTTTACTGATGGCTTGTGCTTGCTGGAAAAGTTGTCCATTTCGGTGAATTCGGCAGACAAGATGTTGACGTCGTCAAGATTTACGCCTTTCGTTTCAATCTAAACCAACGAAATGATCACCGTGACAGAGCCTATTATGGTGTAATTTTTCATTAAATGACGGTTTAAGCTGAAAAAAGAATCTCACCAGAAACTTGTGCGATACGATCAAATTGATGGAGCCAAGTACGAAGACGCTGAAGTACACAGAAGGAGGCCAAAAACTATTCACATAGGTGAGCTGAAATCTTTGTTATACGTTTCAGTTGACAGCCATCTATGTGTTATTCTATTCTAGCAACATCATCAGAAAACAGAAACTTCCAGTTTCATAGAAGGCAGCTAATGATGTCGTTTCTTAATTGTTTCCTAATAACTTTGTTTAAAGGACGCGTGTGGCGCAGTGCTCGGAGGCGCCCTGCAATGCACTCATGGGTTCAGTCCCCGCGCTCGTGGCTCACCAGGTCGGCAAATTGATGCCAGACTTGTCTGGGAGGATACTAGCACTGGCTCGATACATCGATAGGCCACCGCGAGTTATTGTAAAGGCCAGATATGCATTCAATCACCTTCAACGATACTTAATGAAGTCGAATGTATGGAGCATCCCTCAGGGATTGATCAACGCCAAGAGCTTTATCCCTTTATTTGATCCTGTATGGCGAACGTTACAAAAGAACCACCTAAACAAGCAGTAAAACTACGATATTCGTAGTGCATGTTGAATCGATGGCTAAAACCCGAGCTGATCAACGCCGAGAGCTTTAGAGCTTTCAACTCTGTTTGCAAGTAAGAAGTAGAAGACAGAAACGAGAGTGGTCTAAAGGCTCTTGATTTCTACGTTCAGACAATAGTAGATTTTTACGTCAGCTTTAAGATCCCAACCATTTCGACTTGGAAAAATTATTGACCCACCAATGATTTGGTGAACAACAGTGAACAAAACATGTCGGCTTCAACAAATCTGGTCCAGTTCAATGATTCTGCTGAACACTATCAAGAATAACTCATAGAATTACTTTGAATTCACAATAAATGGAGAGCTGGTATTTGCACAATGTGAACGTTTTGTCCCTTTTCTGTGAGGATAAGGTTTTTCCTCTTGTAGAAGACTAGGAGGTACGATGAGGTAAGAAAGGTCATTCAAAAACTACGACTCTTCGTAGAAACTCAACATGTACCTGTTTTCACAAGACGACGTGAATAAATGGAAAATTCTCAACTTTTTATGATCTGTTCTCATATCTACCCAGCACTACCCACCAGGATCCCAGTAGTTCTTGCATTGAATTCGTTTCCTCGCATCCATCATCCACGAGGTTCCTCGAACTTTTACATGTAGGTTCGACGTTGTTTGAGCATCCAATTCTTCCTATAGTCTTGTGATAACCGTTCTAGAGTATCCTCACGCCATTCTCTGACCTCATACTGAAGGTACGCTCGATTCACCTTGGGGTAGATACAGCCCTTTGCTCGTGATGAAGAGCATCACTACAACTGCACTACCTAACCTACAAAAGTTGTCGATATGGGAAGATGGTAAACCACTTACAAATGGTGTTGAGATGGCACCAATACGTGCTATCAACGAGCAGCTACCAGTGCCGCTAGCCCGACACGACGTCTCTAATGACTCCACTGCACAGAGGAAACAAGCATCCCATGTGTATTCAATGAAAACACAGCCCATTAGATTAACCAGCAACACGCCAACACCCTGAATGAGAAACGTTGTCTGAAGTGTTAATTTTTTATTTACTGTCTACTACAATTTTTTCCAATGCAGGGTGTTATAGGTGATACAACCACAATGATGCAAAGATATTTGCAAAACTCCAGACCGCAGGTTTGGTGGTGAAGGCGTTAGCCCCCAGGAGGGGTAATAGCGCGTTCGCTGTAGACACTTACGGTCCGGAGTTTTGTAAATATCTCAGCATCATTGTGATGGTCTGAAATGTTGCTTGGTAAACGATCCTGGTACGCTTTCCCTATCTTTAAGTCCTTCCACAATACACCTTGACAAAATAAAGTGAATGGAGCAGTTACTTACAGTATATTGTCGCAATGTGAGTATACTGAGAACGAGGAAGCAAATACACACTACAAATTGAGCACCGTGATGAAGACGACGACGACTGAACTTCGGTAGCCAAGTATCGGTGACAAGAAGAATCTGGAATAGAATCGATAGAAACAAAACGTTTAACGACCTAAGAGGGATCACAAAATAACTTTTCGGCATGAGGTTTACTAAATTTCTTCAAGTTAAGATCTATTCATTAGCGATCTATAGTCCAGTGCGTTAAATATTAAGTAATTCGAGCGAGATGAAATCTCTATTTGCCCCTGTTCAGTAATGCCTGAGAGGAGCAAGGTTTCTCTTAGAAAAGCTATCAAATAAAAAGAGCTAGGTTGGTGCTGTTGTAGAATATATCCTGCTCCTAGTGTAAATCCGAACTCGATACAAAGGAACGATGCCGGTTAGGCCAACCTTTATAGAGTAAACGAAATTCAGCTTATTGAGTGCAAACTCGATAGATATGCTGACAAAATAGTACTATTTTTGAAAAAGTGCTAGTGATCGTTCAACCACAATGGTACCGAAATATTTGCAAGTGCCTGCGGTGAGGAGCGAACACGCTATTATTCTTTCTGGGGCTAACGCGTTTACCACCACACCATGCGGGTCCAACGTTTCGACTTGATCTCACTGATTGGTCAATCCCGTTGATGGATACGTACTGATGGCACCTATAAAACAAGGTTGAGAGAAAAGCGAAAAGAAGGACCCACATGGTGTAGTGGTGAACGTTTTAGTCCTCGGAAATGATAATAGCGTGTACGATCCCTACCGCGGACACCCGCCGTCTGAAGTTTTGGAAATATCTCAACATGCGATTTTAATGAAATCTGGAAGAAATCACTTACTAACTTAGAGATGATGATAAGAACTGAGAAGAGAATTTGGTTGACGAACAGATTGCCGCTGATGGTGTTCGAGTTGAGATCATTACTGTAGGAGGAGAACGCTGCCGTGAACCACATCAACCACAGCACACCGAGACGACGAAACAGACCAGGAGTGCTCCACATCTCGCGGAATGTCTAGAGAAAACATAAAGCAAGTAGGAAAGTAGGATAATACTTGAAGATAATTTTTAAAAAACCGGAGGGCAAACATTAGATGGTGTCCTAGGGCCCTGTCATATCATGCCTTAACATTATTTCTGAACGTAGCATAGCATTTCCTAGCTGATTATGTGAGAGCTCTGTCAATTCATTCCCTTATATATCGTTGTTCTAAAAAGGGCCAGAATATTTTGCTACCAGCGCTGTGTTACTTAACTGCTGGAAGCACGTAGATGCTAATAAAAGCCTGGTATTTTGAAATAGAGCCTTTACTACATTGGTACTAAGTGTAGAAGGGCGTAAACCTTTTGTCGTAAGCGGAAAGATTTATGTAGAGCTATTTTAAATAAACCTTTTTTCTCCTCAAATCTGCAATCTGCCTGATAAGTTTCCACAATTTTTCCTGGATTTTTTTTTCCAGGAAAAAAGGAAACTATTTGCGAAGTAACAAGTCGAGTTTACGTTCTTCGTGTTTGCTAGCAGTTTTCCAATTGAGTTTCGGTTACTTATCATGGTTATTTTTCACCGTATTACAATAATCAGCGAATAGCGCAACGGTTAGAGGTGCTCTGCAAAACACACTGGATCGATAAGTGGTTTTTACCTTCAATCCAGTCGGAGGCTGGCGAATTGGTAGCATAATGGTCTGGGAGGAAAGGACATTCATGTGACTGAAGCATTCAATCACTTCCACGATACTTGATAAAGCCTAATGGATGGCGAATACCTCAGGGATTGCTCAATGACGAACGCTTTGTTCCTTCGATTATCAAACCCTAAAGCTTAAATAATGCTCCTAAGAGCAATAAGTGTGAGCGCTCACCATCATCGCAATTGCTTCATGATGTCTTTAAAATCACGAACAGGTTAAACCCTATTTTAATGCCAGAAATAACTATTCTCTGTAAAATAACTCATTTTGCACTTATGCAGCTCTCAGATCATTTCCCGTTTGTTTCATTGCTTTCTTAATGTTGCTCACACAAGTTTTCGAGTTCGTGGATAGGTTCAACTGGCTATTGAGAATATGTCCTCACCAAGACGAACACTAGTCGAGCACGATTTTCCTGTGAATCCTGAGATGGCTTACCCAGCTAGAGCGCACTGAGGAGGTTCACGTTCTTCAGACTCGTCGAAACATTAGCCGAACAAGGTTTCTTATCAAACTTTTGTTAGTTTAATCAGTTACTTAAATCGTGAATTAACGTCCAAGGTAGCAAAACAATGCAGACAGGCGATAAGAGAAGATCTTAAAGAGAGAAGAGCAGCAGTTATGGCCGAAGCTGCAGAGGCCGGGAAAAGCGTTCGCAAAGCCCACAGAAGCTTCGCCAATTACAAGACCAAAACTACTGCTGTCCCACGCCCAGACGGAACAGTTACAGCGTCCAGAAAGGCAATGGAAAAAATCATTCACGAATACTACTCGGATCTCTTTAATAGCCACGTCCTCCACCCTCATATTAAATAAAGGAGGATGGATATGTTGTGCCACCGATTCTCCCTTCCGAAATCCGACGTGCTATTTTCGTCGGTGAAAAATCTTATAGCACCAGGCCCGGACAGGATAAGATCAGAACACCTGAAGAACCTTCCGCCAGTTCTCGTAAACACACTGGCAAGGTCCCCACTCAGTGGGAGGCCAGCAAGACCGTGTTATTGTTCAAGAAAGGTGACCTATGCGATATCGGCAACTATCGCTCAGTCTGCTTACTGCCTGTTGTCTGCAAACTCTTTATTCGAGTCAACCTAATCAGGATTCGTCCAGTATTGTGACGAAGTGCAGCCATCTGAGCAAGCAGGATTTC